ACTAGGGATCGAGCCCTGGGATCTACCTCAGCTACCACGAATTGGTGAATACCGTTTCATTTGCATCAATAGAAAAATTATCCTTGGGCCTAGTTTAAGTTTCCAGTGGTGATCGGATTTTTATTTATTCAACAAAATTGCAAGTCAACCATCAAACAGAATATAATAATAAAAGAGAAGAATATAACTTATATAAGATATAACCGAATTTTCGGAGCAAACAATCTCACCCTGTGGATCAGTTTACCCTACCTTCTATTTTTTGTCCTTTTTCACCGTTTTTGTCAACATATGTTTTTTTTTTTTTTTTTTTTTTTTTTTTTTTTTTTTTTTTTTTTTTTATTGGACCAGTTTCTCGATTTATGCGTGTCATCCTTGCGTGTCATCCGGGCTAATCTTCTCTCTCTGTATCGTTCCAATTTTAACGGATGTCCCGAAGGACTCAACATATGTTCTCACTGCTGGATGGTTACTTGGGACGAAACATATGTCCATCCATCAACAACCTCAGCGTTAACCCGGAGTTGTGGTGGACCATGTTCTATGTGGTACTTGTGATTGTTTTTGAACAAAAAGAAAATGTATTCTCTGAGTCGTTGAACAGTTTCGTATATAGGTATGCACTTCTGACAAGTCGTCAAAAATGTGATAATATTTATCACGGGTGGGAGGTTCTCGTTTACATTTGAATTGCAACATTGCCTTTTGAAAAAGCATAATGTTTATCGCGCGTGGGAGGTTGTCGTCTGTGTTGATACAGAGTGAGGGTGAATCTGGTCTACCTTTCTTTTTGTAGTTTGTGTGTGGTGGCTGGAAAAGGAGAGAGTAGGGAATTCTGGGCATGCACGTGTGTGTGTGTGTGTGTGTGTGTGTGTGTGTGTGTGTGTGTGTGTGTGTGTGTGGTGGGCTAAGGAAGATGGAGCTGATGATATTTGCAATATGTTGGTGAAGCGACTGTGGACAACTTTCCAGGCCGAGAGGGAAAAGCCAGCGATGAATCGACAGAAAAAGCAGCAGCGTTGAGTAATAGAGGTGGGGATGTAGTTGCAGATGATGCAATTCAGGAAAGGGGCTCCAAGAGGGGTGAGACCAGGGAAAGGGCCCTAAGAGGGGTGGCCCATCCCTTGAGTGGCAGGCAGGGAAGGTCTGCTGGTGGGACTAAGAGGGGCAGCCGTGAAGTTGTGCCAAAGGGAAAGCAATTGGCCTACTTGAGCAGTACCTCGACTGACAATGATTCTTCCTCATCTGACTCCAGTGATAGCGATGGACCCATTTTAGGAGTGCGCAGACCAGGTATGAGTACAGTGCCATTGGTAAATCGTGACTGTCCGGGAACCAATAGGTCTGGTAGCCATGAAAATGATGATGATAAGAATGGGGGTGGTGATGCAGAACCGAGTCATGTTCATATTCCACCTGTTCCTTCTCGGTGGGAGGCGAGATCGGACAGTAGCTGCAGTGAAAGCAGTGACAGCGAGGAAGAAGACCGACCTTCTGGCCGGGCAGCTGAGTATGACAATGACGGTGTCCGGACAGCAGCCGTTTGCAGAGGATCATATCCTGTCATTTCTATCAGTGAGGGAGAAGACCGACGTTCGGGCCCTGAGTATGGTGATGACGTTGTCCAGACAGCGGAGATTCACAGAGGGTCAGGTGCTGTCAGGGATAGAAATAGGGATGACTGTGTCCATGACAGTGGGCTTACCATGGAACCCCCAACCGCATTTGGTCCAAAAGTACGAGGGTATGAAAACAGGGGGCAGAGCTCACCGAAAGGGGCCCCCAGGGCATTTGGTGTGAACATACGAGGGCCTGAAAGCAGGGACGAGAGCTCACATGTGGCCAGTCAAAGTCGAGCAGCTGTCATGCGATCGACACTGGAGGAGGCAAGTGATGTGGAAAAGGTTGAACCACAGGAAAGCGGGAGGAGGAGCCAGCATATAACGGGCACGGAAGGGATGAGCAGGGAAGGGATTTACTGGGAAGACGATCCTACAGGAAGGCTGCCGGGTCCCAGCTATACTGCAAGTGAACAGAGGGCCACAGTTGCTGGTGGCCCGGATGGCTTATTGAGAAGTAAAGGGAGGGTGCAATTTGGTTTGCCCACGGTTAAGGAGGAAATAGAGGAGGGAGTCACGGAGGCTTGCCCTATAGTTATCTCGCCGGGCTTGGAGGATGATAAGGGTGCTGCTGCTGCTGCTGCTGCTGCTGCTGGAGATGGCGGCAGACAATCGCATGCGACAAACAAAGCCACAAGCAATGAGCTGACAAATGCTGGAGCTGAGACGTGGAGAAGACTTCCACAGCAGAATGGGAGAAGAGGACTGAATGATAATTCCACTCGAAAGTCAGGCGAGCATACTACGGACTGGAGGGGTGCAGAGGGTGCACATGCGGGTTACAACAGAGGCGGAGGGGGAAAAGGGAGCAGCAACAATGGCGGAGGAAGAGGCAGGGCTGCAGTGGATGTTGAACAGAGCAGCTCGGTCTTGCAAGCGTCGTCTGTCAGGGTTGCAGCACAAGGCTTGGACTCGTGTAGTAGATCGCAGAGACTCGGTGACGTCAGAGTTTCTGAACCTGTTTCGGGGGCAAAAAGTGACCCAGAGGTTGTGCCCAGTAGTTCCTCATCCTTATGGTCCTCGTCATCTGCATCTCTGGACGACTGTGGCAATACGGTCGAAGCTGGGGAGGTACGTGCATATGTGTTTTCGGCAGAAAATGAAGTGGCAGTAAACCATGAAAGATGAGCCGGTAAAAGGAAAAAACTCCAAGAAAGGGGAAAAAGGAAAACCATCAAGATGAGCAAGCAAAAGAAAAGAAAGTTAAAAGAAAGGATGAACTGAAACTTTTGGCTGGAACGTAAGGCATGTCTGATTGATTGACCGAGTTGTGTTTTCTGAAAGGCACGAAGTGTTCCCTCTGGTAGGCAGAAATGGTTTCACTCTGAACTCTGTTATAGAGGATAACAAAGCAAATTCCTGGAACTAGAGGGGCAAAAAAAAAAGAAAGGAATGATATGGATGCTTTGGGCTTTGTGTGCTGTTATTGATTATTAGTTGCTTACGTAGGAAGTACTACCATCGGCATCTGAGCGAGTACGACATACAGCATACGGTCATTATTGCTGTTTTTAGACTCAAAGATGCCCCGAATACAGCTATAATGACCGAACGTCGTATTCGGTGAAGACGGTAGGAATGTGATCAGCAGTAAGTGCTTTATTTAAGTTTATTATTATTTGATAAGATAATCCTCAGAGTGCATGATTGCTGCTGAGAGAAACTTAACGAAGCTTCTGATGAGTCATGCTGTGCATTGTTTTCAAAGGTTTGCTATAAGTTATGAGAGAACCGAATGGACAATCAGTTTTGATGCTTGCTGTGTCCTGTGTGCTGCAACATGCACAGGCTGAACAAGGGCTGCGAAACGTTGCTTGCCTGGCATGACTACTGGTTGACGTCTCAACTTTAGACCCAGGTTGGGGTGGAATCTCTTTCGGGAAGCCCGAATGCTGTAGTGTGTGTGTGTGTGTGTGTGTGTGTGTGTGTGTGTGTGTGTGTGTGTGTGTGTGACGTGGCTGAAATGGGAAATTGGGGGGCTATGGCTGCATTGAAAATGTGACCTCTAAATCAGGGGTTTCTGTCTGATTGAGTTGTGTGCTTCATTCTTGGATTTTATGACAGGCACGACTGCTCCGGTTTCCGTCTGAGAGGGTTTGTTCGAGTGATGTCTCCCTCCCTGTGAAGAAAGATTTCAGTTTTCTTGACCATTCAATGTCGGAAAGGTAGTTGGAGTGTTCTCTGAGAGGTAGCAGAAAGTTTGACGAATCTACTGGTTTTGGAGAGAAGGAACTGAAATCAGCAACTGTTTTTTTTTTTTTTTTTTTTTTAACCACTAGTACCTTCGCCAGTGTTGGGAAAAACAGGGGAAACGGGCTGTTTTCCCATGTCCCCGAAGAGTTCGGAGGTCCGAGAGGCTCGGCAAAAACAATAAAGTTTAGTTTTATATTGCCCACTCGTGAAAGGGAAAAAAAAAAAGGAAGAACAACTTTCTCTACTGCAATGATGTTGGGCAGGTCAGTCTAGGACGATGTGCTCACTGCAGTCCACAAAATGAATCTTACAGCTAAAGCGGTCAGATTGTGGATGTTGTTGTTTTCTTTTTCTTCTTTCTTTTCATATTCTTACGAGTCCCCTGGCAGCGAGGCAGGGCGTAATCCGTGATCTGCTCAAGCTGTGTTTGCAATGACTCAGCTCGATTCCGAATTAGTCGTGGGCTCTAGGTCGTCACTTCTAGTCAAAGGCCCAAAACGGGGGGTCAAAAGTCACGCCCTCAGTCTGAGGAAAGACTGGGCAAAGGCCTAAGGCCAAGGGGTACCCATGACGGGGCCAAAAACAACATTCAGAGGCCCTACGAGCAACAGTTGGCTTTTGGAAAGTCAACGGTTGACCCCAGCACGGGATTCCAGGGCCAAAGGTCAAAATCAACCCACTGGTCAGCCACAGCCGTAGATCAGATGGACATCATTGGTTGTCTGCAGGTATCTAGAAGAATCCGGCGCACGTGGGACACGTTGGAAATCTGGCTTCCGCTTGATCTGGGCCGTCGACCCCAGGACACCAGAGGCTGGTCAACGCTAGTGAACACTATAAGTGGACCCAGCCCCTGCTTGGAGATCATTCTGCCTTGCCCTGGCTTGATGCTAGTACGACACTGCAAAGCTGTGGGGAGATTATGCTGGCGCCAACCTTACTTCATCCATCTGATCTGATTCGATCAGGGCTCGAGCTCGTGACCTGTTTATCAGCAGTTATATGTGTGTAGTACTGTGTACCCTTCAGCCACATGGGCTGGGTGTCTGAGGACAGCCATTGATGTCTATGATCTATGGTGACTGCAGGTTTGCATGTTTGTTGAACTTTGTTCCTATAGAGTTTATGGTCATATGATCTACTGTGGATTTGTATGTTTGTTCCTATGGAGAGTAGGGTCTTTCAATCTTTTTATATCTCTGCCTACGGTTTACCAGGCAGTTCTGTTTGCCGATGTATATTGTGATGGGGTGTGAACCGACAGTCTGTAGAATTTTCCATCTGGTGTGGGTGAGTCAGTCTGCTTTGATTTTCGTCACAGGTACCTTGAGGGGGTATTGGGGGGGGTATGAGGGTGTTGGGGGAGTGTATGGGGGTATTGGGGGCAGGTATGGGGATGTTCGAGGGGTTACAAGGGGTTCTGGGGTCTGGACCCTTTTTGCCGATGACTCCCGACCGGTAGGTGCCGACTAGTCAAGGGCCGCCGACCGTCGGGCTATGCAATACTCGAAATACATATATATTTCGACCATTTCTTGATGCATGCGTGTCATCCTAGCAAAGGGGCCATGCTAATCTTCTGTATCGTTCCAAATTTAACGGATGTCTGGAAGGACTGGGTCTTTCAATCTTGTTCAGTTGATTTGTCCCTGTTTCCTGTGTGGACTTACTGTCCACAGTTATTTAAAATTTTGAACCACCACTCCAACGGCCCCTGCCCTGTCCACTTTTCTTGTCTACAAGTACCGGGCCAAAATCAACAGTGCCCAAGCTCGGTACCGCAATCACTTTTCCTGAGGGCGGCACTGTAGATCTTAGGCTCGGGGAATGCAACTTTTGGTTTCTCGCGCGCGCTGGCAACCGAGGGTACAACATTTTGAGTGTGCCAACTTTGGTGGTTCTTGGCACTCAGAATTGTTGGTGAAATATTCTGATAAAAATCAGGGGTATAAATTGAGTGCTGTTCTTTTCGGGAAAAAAACATTGGAAAGGCGAAAAAAATTAAAAAAAAATAAAAAATGCAAAACAATTCTGGCGGCAGAAGTTCACATTTTTTTGCTCTCTGCTGCTGTTACTGGTAGGCCAAAAACTTTTAGGACCCCTGCTGCTACCAGTAGGCACTAAACCATGTGGAAAGGCGACTGGTGGTTTAAATATCCTTCGTTTCCCTCTCATTCTTCTCTGTTGCTTGCAGGCGAAGTTGCGACCAAGTTATCTGGTATTACTTAGCTCATCCTTCTTGCTGCCAGAAAATGATGTGGACTGTGTTTTGTCTAACTGGGCAGTGTCAATGTGGAACTTGCAGTCTTTTCTTCATCTTTTTTGTTTGTTTCTTGGCGTGGTTTTCACTTTGCAGAGTGAGAGCACACTTTCTGAAGGTAGACAGGTCGTGTCGGACCCTGACTATTCTGCAGCGTGGAGGAACAGGGCCCAGGCGACAGCGAAGTTTGGCAGTTCTGCTCCTGGGCCCGCGAGTGCACAACAAAAGAATAGTTCGCAAGAGACGATGGACCAGATGGCGGCCTTTGGGGAATCGGATGTGCCTAATTCCTCTGTGAGTGCGGGAGAGCACTTCTGGCGGCGTGTAATTAAGGTTGGAGAAAGTTCACTGAAGCGAAACAAATCCGGCTCTGAGAAAAGGAAGAAATCTTCCAAACAGGAAAATAGTGTGGAGCACAGTGACGATGGTCAGAAACAATCAGCTATGGACCCGAAAATCACGACTCTGAAGAAAAAGATTCTTACGGTGTTTCCGTCCAAGCAGCATTATGTTGATGTGTTTGGGCAGTTGATTGTGGAGGAGGCGAGGTCTGTCATCGCAGACAAGGCAAGACTCCTTGGAGCAGCAACTTCTGAGGGTAAGGTTGATCATATGGATTGGCTTGACTGTCTCTGTATTGTGGATTTCAGCCGCACACTTTTTTTGTCTTTATAAGTTGCACAACAATACATTATTCTCAGTTATTTTTTAAAGTCGCATAGCAATAGATTATTCTCAGTTATGTCCTTTCTCCTCAGGGGGGGGAAGAAGTAAGAGGTGGTCCGATATCAGCTCTTTGTGTCTTGAACTCCACTGTCATTGCTTTTTTGGGGGGGGTGTTATACGGGTCACAGTTGGCCTATTTTTGTTTTCGTATCTACAGCAGCACAACCCATTTGAACACACAAATTTCTTAGCGCTGATAAACCTGGACGCATCATCTTTTCAATGTGCTTCCAGTCCACGCCTGAGATTCTGTTGCCGCTCCCCCTTGTAGGTGTTTTGTCCGAAAGCATTTGACATACAATTTTGAACCAAGGGAGATATCCCAGGTGCCCGGATTGGCGACCGGGTGACCGGCCGGGCATGACCCCCGGGCATGGCCCCGGGAAGTCTCAGCA